GAAGGCGCCAACCCGCGGGGACAACGCAGGAGGGGGCCGGGAGGCAGGGACGGGCCCGGGACAGCTTCGAAGAGGCCGAGCAGCAGGGCCACCAAGAGGCCACGGCAGCTGCGCGGGGCCCAGGGGCAGAGGGGATGAGTGTCCTGCTCGGGGTCCTCCTGCGGCCACCGGATCCTGGGGCGCTGTGCGGTGACAACGCGCTGCGGAGGCTCCTCATGCTAAGGCTCCCTTGTGGGTGGTGCCACTCCCACCCCAGCCAGGCCAGGCTCCTCTCCACATGGTCGCCGTGAAAGATGGCTCTCCTGGCCCTGAGGTTCACTAGGGAGAGTCCCTGCCCCTCACTCTGAGTCCTGGGCGATGCGGGCTGGTGCAGAAGTGCACAGATCTAGAGCTGGGAGTCAGCAGGCCAGGGCGCTCTGGGTTCACAGGCAAACCCCAGGGGCTAAGGATGGGTGGCCAGGCCTGGGACGGGGGCTTCTAGTGTGAGATGAAGTTGGAAAGCCAGGTCACCAGGGTGTCTGAAGTCCCAAGGCCAGTCCTCCTGTTACAGGAAATACTGGAGATGAAATATGAAATAGTCTATCTCCCAGCCTATGATACGCCATAGAAACGGAAGGATGAGTCCTAGGAACAACAGAAGTTAAGAGTAGGAAGATATTTACTGATAGGAAAGCTCCTGAGGGGGGCAGGGGACCCCACTTTCCAGAGGAGTTTTATAGGGTGACACCACATGGGTACGTGAGCCACAGCCACGAACGTCCGATAAGGTTACGAGTTCGGTCACTTAGGTGACGGTGGTCCCATTGGGAAGCAAGTCCCGTAACCAGCGTGGATGGAAAGAACGGATTCTCCTAGAAAGCGGTGGGTCCAGAGGTCTCTGGTCACCCGCCGGGGAGGCCGATGTCTATCTAGACTTCACTAGGCCCAGGGTTTGTTCTTTGGGAAAATATGTAGGTCTGGCCATCTTGTCTTTATTTTGAGGAATGCTTTTCAGCCGATGTTTCTCCGGGGCATCTGTAGTGTTTCACCTCTGTCCTGACCGTCTGGAGGACCTAACCCTGCCAGACTGCCTATAATATTTCTACCTAACTCATCTGTCTGTAACATTCCTGTCCTGGCCTAGTGCAGGTCCTTGTTTTAGTGATAATGGAAATCAGAACGGAAGCTCCGCTTGGCAGGAAGAGCTGTGACTGGGAAATGAGAGGACGAGGGTGTAGCTGCTCCTTAGCAAGGGAGAGCAAGAGAAAGCGGGGAGGGCCGGCTTGGGCGGCCGCAGGGGCTGGGTGGAGCCCGGCAGGCTGCCCCGAGGGAGGAGAGCCCAGGGTGAGGGGTGCCGGTGGCAGGGACGCTCTGTCCCTGTGTCAGGGCTGGTTTCCTGGTTCTGGAGGCATCTCTGGGCTGCAGGTGGGGATTTTGTCCCCAGGAAATGCTTGTGCCCGTGTGGGTCATGTGAGGCTCCGCTTGTCCCAGGACCCAGGTGACTCCCAGTGCAGGACAGTGGAGTCCCTCTAAGAGGAGAGGGTCTGGAACTGGACCTCGTAAAGGCTGGAGAGCCGATGTCCCTCTGAATCCTGAGGATTGCTTTAGTTCCTCTTCTCTTGGTGACCTGCCCCTTGAGATAGGCCAGGTAAATTTAGGGTCAATAAACTTTGGCCAATTTTTTTTTTTCTTACTGTACTGGGGATTGAACCCAGGGCCTTCCCGCTGAGCTCCAACCCAAGGGACAGAACTCACAGTCTCTGAGCTGTCCACACTGGGCTTGAGCTTGTGATCTTTCTGCCTTTGTCTCCCAGTGTTAGGATTACAGGATGTGCTGGGAGCTCTGGTTTTGCCAACTTTTGCATACACATTCCCTACCTGTCTAACACACCTATACATGTCTAACATGTGGAACCGAGAATTTGACCAGAATTTTAAAAAACGAAGGTCAAGATTTGTTCTCCTTTTAGTTACCTATTGGGCTTGAGCAGAGTCACAGGCTTTAACTCAGAAACTGCTTTTAAGTCTGATTATCTCAGAAGAAAATGCAAACTGTACATTTATAATGACTAACAGGTTAAGCCAGCCTGGGCTGCCTAGTGAGTTCTAGGTAGCCTGAACTACAAAGTGCGACCCTGTCTTAAAACAATCAAATGAGTAGCAGGTTAAGGGCTCCGGAGTTTGTCCTACATTCTCTGGCTGTCACGACTGTGTCACAGAAGGCTGGTAGTTGTGACAAGAACGACAGAGGTGGCCACAGACTCTGGGTGGGACACAGGCACCAGGGAGGATGTCAGGGCCCCTGACAGCACCCTGTCACAGACCATCAAGGGATAACTTTCAGGGCAAAGCAAGGTGCGGGATGCTTCGTGTCCTGGTTGCCTACAGACAACACAAGGTGCAGGCAGGGGCCCTGAGGAGAGGGCAGGGTGTTCCTGGGATCTCTGGGGACCTAAGAACCTGAAAGTGCTGCACAGATGCAGGGAGTCCCAGGACCTGAGCCCACACAGCATCGCCCACAGGCTTTGCAATGCATTTTATTTGCATCTTTTTGTTTTGTTTTTTGGAGACAGGGTCTCACTATGTAGTTGAGACTGACCTGGAACTCACTATGTATCCTAGGCTGGTCTCAAACTCAGTGATCCTCCTGCCTCAGCCTCCTGAGTGCTGGGATTACAGGCATGTGCCACCACGCCCGGGCTCTCATTTACATCTTAAAGGCAGTGAATTTCCCGGCTCTGCTTCACACAAAATCTTCCTGTCTTTTCACTTCTGAATCCCAGTCCTGGGCCAGCCAACCTCACCCCACGCAGGACAGGCTGCTCCACTTTGTTTCAAGCCTGAGAGACTAGTAGTTCCCCACAGGCAGGCCTGAATTTCCCGGCTGCTTCACACAAAATCTTCCTGTCTTTTCACTTCTGAATCCCAGTCCTGGGCCAGCCAACCTCACCCCACGCAGGACAGGCTGCTCCACTTTGTTTCAAGCCTGAGAGACTAGTAGTTCCCCACAGGCAGAGGC